GATCCAAAGTGGCAGCCCCCCCCCCCCCCCCCCCCCCCCCCCCCGCCCCCCCGCGCCCCCCCCCCCCCCCCCCCCCCCCCCCGCCCCCCCGCGCCCCCCCCCCCCCCCCCCAGAGGCCTGGCACGGTGCTGACCAGAGCCCCCCCTCCCTTACCTGGTCCGCCAGGCTCTTTGCTACTTGCTCGATCTCTTCCCGCACAGCGGCTGACTGGCCGCACCAGGGAGCGTAGAAAAAAACCAGCGAGATCTCTGAACTTTGACGGATGTCCTCCGCTAGGTCCAGCTGCCCAAGAAAGAGATCGTGGACTGATGACGTCGCAGGGAAGAAGCTGATGGGCAGCTTGGCAGGCATCGTCACGTCTTTTGCACGGCTGGTGGGGGGGAAGGGGGCTCAGAGACCAAGGCCAAGAGAACTGCACCCTCTCCCCACTAGCAGGCAAAGCGGGAGAAACAGGGAAAGCCCTGCACCCTCCTTAGCCCACAGAGACCCTCGCCCCCTCGCCCGGCTCCTGAAAGGCCAGGGCAGCCCTAGTAGAGACAGACTGCCTGGGGCCCCCGGAAAGCCTCCGCTGCCCCCCTCTTTTCCAAGCCGCCTTGCTTGGGCTCCTGCCCCGCAGCCCGTGAAGAAGGACCGTCCAAAGGCCGGAGATGCTCCAGTGGCGCCTCTGGACTCTTGAGCACCTGCCCCGGGGTTCCCCAAAGGGAGCGGCCGGAGGGTGAAGGGAGAGACCGGGGCTCCTCCGCCCCAGCATCTTCCCGGCCTTCTGATCCTTCTCACGCTCGCTCGCTCGCTTCCAAAGAGGCCCAGGGAAGCCTTTTCGGTGGCAGCTCAACGGGGAGGGCAGCACCGGCGGATCAAACGGGACGGGGAATCCCGGGGGGTTCACTTGCATTCACGCGCGCCCCGAGTCCCGTCAGCAGCCGAGCAGATGAACCGGGGCCAGGCAGCGCTCGCTTCCTTCCCGCCTCTCCCACTCCCAGCAAGGGAGCCCGACGGGAGGAGCCCGGTGTGACCTCCTGGCGCTGGGGGACGGAGGCGCGTGGCCGGGCCGCCCCTTCCAGCCCCCGGGGCCGCACTCGCATTCCCCGCCCGACCGCCGCGGGGCCTCCTCGGCCGGGCCGCTCACCTGCACGAGGCCCGCAGCGCCAGCAGGCAGGCGCAGCCCAGCACCACAGCGGCGCCGCACAGCACCTCGGGCCGCCGGGCCATGCGGGGGACGGCGGCGGGCGCTGCGCTCTCCTGCGCGGGCGGCGGCGGCGGCGGGGCGGCGGGGCCTTCGCTGGCCGACGACATCCCCTCCCCGGCGGCCGGGCCTGCCTGCCCGAGGCGGGGCCGAGCGCGCCTCTGGGTCGGAAGCCGAACGGGGCGCCGCCACGTCTCCCGGCCCGCCTGATGACGGCGTAACGGGGCGGGGGCGCGCGACGCCCGGCCTCCTCCTCCTCCTCCCCGGGCCCGCCCTCCGCCGCCGCCGCCATGTCCCGCCGGGAGCCTCCGCGCCAGGAGGCGGCTATCGCAGGAGGGGCGGCCGCCTCCCCGGGAGCCCGTCCGGGCGCTGACGTGGGGAAGGTGGGACGTGAGGAGGGAGCGAACGCTCCGGACGGGAGCGGCGCTACCTGACGCCGGGCCGCCGCAGAACCAGGCCGTCACCGACCCCGGGCGGCCCGAAGCCACAGCGCCCCCCCGCCGCCGCCCGCCTTTTATACGGCGTCTCAGCCAATGGGAAGGCGCCTGCGCGGGTATTGGCCCCCTCAGCGGGCCAATGGAAGGGCAGCGCCCCCTCCCTCCCTCGGGCCCCTGGAGAGCCCCCCCCCTCCCCACCCGTCATGCAGGCGTCACCCCTGGGCTCCCCCCCATGAAGGATCCTTTCGGGAGGCAAATGGGTTTAGGAAAGTCTTTATGTAAAGTTCTTTTTATTACAGGCAATATTGGTCCGTACAATACACAATACTGACATACAAGCTGAATCTTTCAAAATCATCATTTAACAGTAAAGACCAAGAAACAATTTTTAACTACTTGATTCTCAAAAAAGTAATAATGCATCTCTCTTCCAAGATCCTTTTTGGTAAGTTATATTGAAACATACAAATAGAGAAAAATACCCCATTCAACATATATTGTTGTTAAATGGTTATTTTGCTTAAAATCTTTTTAATAAGAAAATCCTTTTATTAAGCAACCTACATAGAGATAAATAGCAAACTGGTTTTTAGAGAAATCCTTTCTGTTAAAACATCTGAAGAATTTCATCCATCATTTTCTTCTGAGCTCAAACCCTCTGTTTTAAGAAGCTTACCTTAAAAGGTTTCAGCTGAAAGGCCAGCCGGAGGGGCTCCCTCGGCATTACAACACCCTCCTCCTCCTCCTCTGGCTGTTTTCCAACTTTCTTCTGTCCAACAGAAGGCGAATAAGCACGTAAGACTTCAGGCTGTGGTTTTTATTATGACTTCACCATTCTGTTTCATGAGAGCAGAGACAGACCTGCCGACTTACTCCCCCTAACACATCTACTACATTTTGATCTTCAGGAGGAACAATACGGGCCAATAAAAGCAGAAAATCTGCAGCTTCTGTCACATGCTTTTTGATTATTGTCAAATTCTGATTTTATGCTTCCGTCTGGCAACACAATGCATCGTTATCATTAGTTTAAATCTTTAAACAAAAAACTATATTTTCCAAAGTCATTATCGTTGGGCGCAATCAAGTGGTCTTTTCGGGCTTTGTTGAATTTCATCCTTAGGACGTGTCTCCTCTCCTCCCATTCGCGGAGTTCAGCTGGTCCATGTGCAAATTTACAGTTATTCCCCTCGACACATGCACCAGCCATAAATCTGCACAAAAGAACAAGCGAGTCACACCTCCTCCAAATACATCGGGGCACAGCGTTAGGGGCCCCATACAATGCGAGGCCTTTTGCTGTCAATGCCAGCTGGCAACCTGGCTGAGCCTCTAAGCAGGCAATGAAAGGGGTGGGGGTGGGGGTGAGGGGGGTGGCTTATTTATTGTGGTTTTGCCTTGCTGCCAACTTTAACATCACTTCTGCTCACTATGGGAAAGGCGAAACAGAGAAGGCCCCTGTTTGGCATGCACAGACAGTGAAATGGATTCATCTTTTTTACTTCAGCTCTGCTAAACTGGGAGCCTAAAGGACTCATAACTCGACACAGCTGGCTTGTTGTGGATACGATAAGCAGATCCCAAATTTTCACTAGGAACCTACCTATCACAAATGCTGAAATATCCAGTTGGAAAGCGATGCTGCCAGCGATTTTGGTCGTCTTCAGTGTGGAAAACTTTCTCTTTATGTTTTTCGGAAGAAATGTGGCCTTGCCATTGTCTCTCACTGTTGCAGTTTTTGCCACACATCCAGCAATGGAAGTCCACCTGTTGATACAAACCCAGAGGACAACTGCAGGGCAGGCGGCATGGGGGAATCTGAGCGATTTGCAGAGCCAAACCGGCTGCTTTTCAGCAGTGAATCCCTCGCAGTACCTGCTGGCTCCTCCCTCCCCAAGAGCCACGGGCTTAAGCATATAAGCTGCCAGGCATGGCTACCAACCAGGAAGTAGCCCTCCAGGACTGGCGTTAGGCGTGCTTAGGTCACACCCAGAACAGCTTCTTGCACTTCAGACCCTGACAAAGCTCACTCTCCTCTGCCAAAAAGCCACGCAATCATCAAGCAAGCATTGCAAAGCAAGACGGCCGAATCCAGGGCAACTCTTCTGTCTCTGGGACTTACTGTGACTTCAGCATAATCAGTTGGCATATGAATTTGTTTCCCATTTTCTCTGCTTGCTTGAGGGGCTGGATCCTCTCCCTTTTCTGGCTTTTGACTCTTCAGCCACATTTCATACAGCTGCTCCATGTCTTGAACTGAAGGAAAGGGGCATCCGTAAGTCCACAGCAATGGATATTTGAGCAAGGAAACTCTCGGAGGGGGCATTAACTTACCAACAGAATAAACTCAAGGATTCTTATTAATGCAACTTAATTCTGTCATAGAAACCTGGGGTTATTCCCTTATATCTTTATGGTAATGCTTCCATCTGGGAACTGGGCTGCCGGAAGCCAAATGTTAACCAGATCACCCCCAGAAAGAGGAGACGGAAAGGGGCAGACACATCTACTAAACAGAGGGGGAAAGGAAGGGAGAGGATGCTCTGAGGCAGAAGGCCTGTGACTTTACTTCCTGGCTCCTTCCTGATTGTTTACTTACTGCCGTTCTCTTTCATGTAGGTCCACATTTCACGCTCCTCCTGACTGTGAGCAAAGGAGCAGTTCCCAACATACAAACACTTTTTGCCTGACGCAATATGGTTGCACAGCTGGACAAACGAAAGGAACAAGTCAGTTGAAGACGTATTCTACCCGGGGGGGGGGGGGGGGGGGGGGGCGAGGGGAAAGAGAAAGAGCTCTGGGCAGTCAAGGGGGTGGATGGGAGGCAGAGACAAAGGAAGCAAAGCCAGCGCCTGCTCTGCCCTGCAAACGGTTCTGATGCCAGTCCCGGTGGCACAGAAGGCTTGGCATGTACCCCCTGGATGTATCTGGGTCACTCAGCCCATTGCCTCGGATACTTTCAGAGAAAAGGGGGGGGGGGAAATAAATTGCCTCCATTCCTTTAAGTTTTTAACTTATTTTCCTAGTTTAGGATTTTTAAAAAATATTGAAATGGTTGAAAGACATTCTAAAATAGGATAAGAAAGGACAAATTAGGAAAAGAAAAAGGAGCAGGCGATAGAGAGATGCTCACATCGAATTGTAAAGGCGCCTGCTTCTTTGTGGGAAGGGGCCGAATCGTGTTCCACTTCTTCCGCTCGTTTGACATCACTAGCATAACGCGGCGATCCCTGGTCCACCTGGAAAGGAAAGGCCCCCTCGGCTACATCACTGCCTCAGGATGCTGCCCCACAAACAAAACGGAAACCCCACGGACGGAGGCTCTGAATTCTCCTGTCAGCAACACTTGAAGAAGTTGCCGAAGGTGAGAAGCCCTGATGGAGGCCGCTGAGGAGCTCTGTGCCTCTTCTAGCTCTGCCGTGGCTCTGAGGACTTTACTCGGGGCCGAGAAAGCAGCTTTCTGGATCAGGTAGGCGGAGGAAAGACTCACGGCTTGGTGTGACAGCTGTGTGGTCAGCCAACACAGAGACAGACAGGCAACCTGATCTACAGTCTGCACCATTGCTAAGGGTCAGCCTGCAAACACAGCAGGCCATAAACTCCCTCTATGGGGGGGGGGGGGCAATGCAAATGTCGCTATATGAATAAGACACCACATAACTCAGGTGAACCCATTTGCTGCCCCCCTTCTGCACCTCTGAGAGGCAGAAAAGACTTACGGGTGCCTGGCTTTTGCACTGCAGTATTTCCTGTTTTTGTCTGGCTCACTAACTTGGCCGTTTCTCCAACACTGAGCACAGACAAACTTCATTTTCAAATTCAGGGAGCCATGCTTCACCTGGTTGCTGATGATCTTGAGAGATACAACAGAACACAATTTCAAATTGGTCAAAATGATTATTTGTGCCACTAACCCCCCATGAAGAAGGGACAAAGCCATGAAGGCCATTTTCTCCAATTCTGTGCCTCTACCTGAAATTTAAAATCTGGTGCAAAGCCCGCGCCCCCCCCCCCCCAATGCAAGGTCAGGAGCAGCCCGGCAGATGGCAATCATGGGGAGAGTTCTATGGCAGCATTTATGGAATATCTTCTTCAGCAAGCAATGAAGGGAACCCATGCAGAGAAGGCAGCATTTTAAGCTTTTAGGAGGCTTGTTAGCTTTTGCCTTTGCTTTTTAAGTATTTCTGAGCCAAGGGATGGCTGTAACACCTACAGGAATTAAACCTAAATCCTTCAGCAAGCAAAGGCACTTTCAGGAGAGGGATTTTTTGGTAGTGATGGTTGTTGGTGGGGTCTTTTTGCAAGAGAGTACTGTGTTTTGATCTCTCTGGGAGGCAATCTGAGAAATACCTGTGCTCCGTGTGTAGCAGAATCCAGATTCTGCCAATATTTTTTTGACTCTTGAACAATAGCCTCATGTGTAATACCTGCAAGGAGGAAGACTATTTTACAAACAGTTCAACATTGTGATGCATTGTTTCAAACCAGCTTCGAGAGGGAAGATCTTGCCCAGGGATACAAGCAATGCAATGGTAGACATCTCTGCACTGACTTTCTCCTTCTGCAAGGGCTCACCTTCAGATAAGACAAGCAGATCGCAGGTGATTTTACACAC